AGCGAGGCAGGGCGGAAGGGCGGTAGTGGCGGCGAAGCGAGCGCAACGGCGGAGGTCCACGCCGGCGACGGGATGAGGACGACGACGGATAGGGATGACCAGCTTGCTCGTCCAGACGCCCACCGTCACGATGCACTTAGCGCCGTGGAACTCCTCGCCGCCGCTCGTCTTCGCGAAGACTCTGGCCTCCCCATCCTTCTTGACGACCTTCGCTCTGTAACACCCTGAAAATTCGACCGACAAAATCAAAACTCTAAAGATACGGATTTTCAAAAACTTTTTAAACTAATTGTATCATGCCGATCTTATTCGTCTATTCTATCTGGATTTGATTTCGAAGATTATTAATCGTGAGTAAAGAATAGTTAATTAGGAATAAACCTTAAAAACAAATTGGTAAAATAAATACAAAATAAAGATTAGGTGGGATAGAAATAAATAAAATATTATCGCGACCATATTTGGATCAATTAAATTTAAATACGATGGAATAAGAATTAACCCTAAATAAAACTCAAATAAATTACATAAAAATAAAATATGAGTAATATTAATCTAGGGTGAATTCATTAGTTAAGATAACACAAATATTGAGTAAAATGCATATGTGCAAAATTAAGAATTGTGGAATCAAATTTATACGGAAATTACACAAAAATCGGGATAAATAGAAAATGGCACTATTCATTGCACCTAAGGTGTTCGATTTCGGTCCCTAGCCCTGGACCCTTCTCTGCCTCGCGCCTTGAGCCGCCGCGCGCCCGTCCCCTCGCGCCTGCGCCCCGCCGCGCGGCCGTCGCCATCGCCGTCGCCTATCGCGTCGCCGCTGCCGCGCTGCTGCGCCTCGTGCCGCGCGCGCCCTCCTCGCGCCCCGCGCCGCCGCGCCGCGCGCCCGTCCTGTCCCGCTGCCGCGCCGCGCGCCGTCACCGTCGGCCGTCTCGTCCGTCACCGTCGCGCCTTGTGCCCCGCGCCGCTGCCGTCTGCCGCACCACGCGCCGCGCGCCGTCGCCTGTCCCGTCGCCGCTCATCCGTCGCCGTCGCACCTCGCGCCCCGCGCGCCGCCGCCCGTCGCGTCCCGCCCCGAGCCCCGCGCCGCCGTCGCGTCTCCCCCTCCCCTTATCTCTTTCCCTTTCCCTATATAAGCCCCACTATTCCCCCTCTTCTCCTTCGTCTCCACCCCCTCTCCTCTACCCACTCCTCCACGCCGCCGCGCCGCCGTCTCCACGCCGCCACGCCGTCGCTTAAAGCCGCCGCGCCGCCGCCACGAAGCCGCCACGCCGCGCCTTGCGCCAACACCGCCACCGTCGCTGTCGCCGCCGTTGCCGTCGCCGCCGCCGGTAAGCCGCCGCCCACCCCCCCCCCCCCTCGCGTCCATCGTCGTCGCCGCCCGGGAGAGCAAGAAGCCAAGAGAGAGAGAGGGAGAAAGGAACCGGGAGAAAGAGAGAAGAGAGGAAAAAAAAAGAAAGAGAGGAGAAGAAAAAGGGAGAGAGAAAGAAAAAGAAAGAGAGGAGAGGAAAAAGCGAGAGAGAGAAAAGAAAACGAAAGGAAAAGAGAGGGAGAAAGGAAAGAGAAAAAGGAAAAATTTAAGAGATTTAGAATATTTAAAAATATTAGAATTTGATTATAGGATTAATGAGAAATATCGTTAGATGAACTCCTACTATTTAAATACCTAAAGTACTAGGATTTGATTATAGAATTAATTATTTACGAATTAAACAATTAGATGAATCTTTATAGATTGTTATAGATTATTTTTAGTAATATCTATAGGAGATCAATTCGCGGTAATAATTTAGATATAATTAAGTAAAAATAGGAATTATCATAAATTATTATAGATTATTTTGGGTAATCCCTATAAGTAATCAATTAATGGTAGAAATTCGGATTTAATTACTAGGGATTATAGCCGTGTAATATATTTAATCATTTAGTCATAGACTAAATTAAATCATATAATGTTTCTAGGATTTCGTCAGATATTTAGCTCGTGCTAGAAATCTCTAACCTATTATATGGATATAATGCTCGGGTAGATTAAATTAAAAACTTATGACAATAAAACATTTATACCCGCAAAATAGTTTGAATCAAAATTGGGTTTGCCTTAGTTCGCGAATAATAAAGTTAAAATAAAGGAATCGACTTTCGCATTCGACTTTCATTTGGATTTATTTGGATTTTGTTTGAATTCTAATCGAATTCAAATTGTTCTTTCGCACATAATTATAGAGACCGACGGAGCCGCGGATCCGGGTGAAGGCCAAGACCCACAAGACCTTGAGCAAGGCAAGTCATCACTGTTCCTTGAACATGTTGATCCCGATTACGAAATTGTTTTGTTTACAAATAAAATTGCATGCAATGATAAACATCCTACTTGTGATTATGCCATGCCTTGATTATTGTTTATCCTTAAAATCCTTGTAACCATGATTACGTATGAGTCCCTAGTCAATTATGACAATTGCTTAGAAATGCTATTCTAGAATCATGCATACTCATATTTATCAAGTGCTATATGCTTGGGCAATTATCTTTGGGAAGGTAATTGAGATACGACATGTGGAGACATGAGCGCCACATTGCCATGATGTTGATGACATGATTTGTGAAAAGAGAAATAAAATTAAACAACTGTTTTCGACTGGGGCGGACGGAGGATTTGGGTGGTATCCGGAAAAGGCTAGCACCGTCCCCGGTCAATTAAGGACCGAGCCATGAAGTTAAGCATGAAACGACCCCCGTACAACCGCACTTCTCGTATGGGTATAGACCTAGCGGAATAGATAGCTGAGCGGAGGCAGTATCCATGCATAGTGGTTTCTTGATGTGTGAGGTATGGGCTCTACGGTGGGGCAGCCATTGGTAGAACCGCGAGGCGGGTGGCTACAGTGGTGTCGCCATCAGTAGGACTACCATGTGAGAATTTAAACATAATTACAACTTAATGCATGTGTGAGTCTTTCCTTCCCGGGTGCGCCAGAACTCCTCTCACTGCTAGAAACCGTGTACGCCTAGAGTGCATGAGGATATAAAGTTCATGGAGTGGGTACTGCCAATGCGAGGTTATCGAAAAGCTTTGCCGTGACGCGTCTCATGTGTTGGGATGAGGCTCATATGTTGGGCAGTCGCGGAGTGCGGGTAAAGTGTACATCCACTGCAGTGTGAGTAAACCAAATCTATTCGAATAGCCATGCTCGCGGTTAATAAGCACCGGGACATGTATTACACTTGGCTAGACTCTAAATTCTTTAATTTGAGTGGGATGGAATATTGCATGATATTTTTATGCTGATGGAGCCACTTCCTGAGAGGCGGGAATGTGGACGTCCTCAGAAAACCATAACGACTCAATGGCGGGAAGCTATCCTTGGGATCACAATGGATGGTGGACAGAACCGTCATTGTTTAATATGAACACTGGTATTAAAAACTTGATCAGTCTATACTAGGTCTTAGGCTTGTGAAAAGAATTACAAAACTTGCTTTGCGCAAAAGAACCATAGCCATCCTTTGAATTCCTCTGTCATGTGCATCATTGCTGTGATGGCTTGCTGAGTACGGTTGGTACTCACCCTTGCAAATATAAAATTAACCAGAAGCGGGAGATGAAGCCTCGGAGGATCCCTATGCCTATTACCAAGAGGGAGATGAAGACGATGGTGCTCAGTAGGTCTTAGTATGGTCGTTGCCTGTGGCAATGGCATGCCGCTGCCTGAATTCCGCTGCCTTATCTATTTCTGCTTTTGGATGTATTCCGGACCGCTCGGTCCGATGATTTAAGACTATGCCTACGGGCTTATGATGTAATAATTCGTATTAGATATTCGTGTATGTGCACTTGGTATTTCAGCTATGAATTCGTGTGTACCAGACTACTTGATCTAGGGAAATGGTACTGTTTACACGATTGATTCCTGTTATAAAAACGGGGGTCGACACGCGCCGCCTCGCCTCCTCCTCCTCCGCCGCCGCCCCTCCGCCCTGCCTCGCCCTCGCGCTCGCCTTGCCGCCGCCGCCGTCGCCGCCGCCCTAACTCGCGCTCGCCTCGCCGTCGCACTCGCCGCCGCCACCGCCCCTCCGCTATGCCTCGCCGCCGTTGCCCCTCCGCCCTGCTCGCCGTGCGCGTGAGAGAAGAGAGAGAGAGGAAGAGTAGTGAGAGAGAGAGAAGAGAGAGAGGGGGGAAGAGTGGGAGGAGTATGACAGGTCGGTCCCACATTTTTTTTAATAAATAGAATGCTGACTGGACTGCCACATGTACGCCACGTAGACTAAAACCACCGCGGATTGGGTCGAGGGGGGTAATTCGCCCGGTTTGTAAAGTTGGGGGTGAAGAATGTCCGGTTTTATGGTTCAGGGGAGTAATTCAGACGACCGCCATAGTTCGGGGGGTAATTTGTACTTTTTCCTTTTAATTATATAAAATTATCATTAGCATGCTAATACTAATAATATATCTTAATGATCGTATATATTTGTTATTCACATGTGGACCTTTCTAGCTTCATGCTATTTTTTTCTTCTCACCAAAAATAGAAAGTTGGTGTGAGTAGTTGACATGTGGACCCTCTGACCCCATATATAATTTATTTTTCTTTCTAAAAGTTAAGAGTTGGTAACTACTCCTTTTGTAAGGAGTATAGATTTAAATAGTGTGTTTCCCATAAAAATAACAAGCACATATAAAAGAATTTACGAGAACCATTTCCTGCAATCTGTTCAAATAAAATAGCTACTCCGTAAGATAAAAAAAGAAAAAAAAAAACAGCTACTCCGTTTTGCGCAGGAGTGCACTGCTGCGGGCCTGCGGCTCTGCAGAAGAGCGAAGGAAGGCAATCATACTTGTGCAGACATGGACCATAAAACAAGAAAAATCATCGTTGCACGCCGATAATCGGATTAGTCTGGTAATCTCCACTAGTTATATACAGTATTGAACTAACAATGACGAGCTCGTTGACTCAACTCATAAGTTAGAAACGTGATGAATTTGGTGACTCGTGAACTAATTTACTCTGCAGTACAAGTGTACAACTGGCTTTATTAAATATTTTACAATATTAGACACGGAGAAAAATGTACTATTCAACATTCATATGTAGTACACCGACCATGACTGCCTGTCTCTTTTATAAATAGAAAATGAAGCATAAACTAGAAGACCCGATCCATCCAAAACTGGTTTATATAGAAACAGAAGTATCTTCGACTAGCACAATTTGGAGGATAATAAAGCCACCTCACAATTCACCCAACACAAGCTCTGACTTCATGGATATTGTCACACATGACATGAGCATGCCCACGTTCCGAACCATTTCAGATCATCAGCCTGTCAGCATTTCAGCAGCAGGCCCAAAACATCCCCAAGAAAATCACCTTGGCGGCTGCACCCAGGAAAGCTCAATTTTTATCGCTGACCAGTGACCACTGCTCTCTTCTAATATGATCCACCACAGTTAATCTTCAGAATCAATTTCTCCCATCAGATGCTTCCATATCCATATTTTTCGATATATGCTGCACCTCCGGACATTCTTCCAACATCACCGATGACACTGGCGGATTGAGGAATTTTGCAGAACCCTGGACGAAATCCGATCATCGGTACGGTATCATCCGACACCGACGACTTGGCGTTTCCACCTCTTGCCATGCCACGGCGAGCCAAGTGCTGGACATTGAGTCGTGCACTGCCTATTGAGAGTTTAGAATAGTTTCCCGATTTCTAGTTCCCGGGTTTTACGTAACTAAGAACGGAGTAAACTGCCTGGATCACGGTGCAGACGAGCCCAATGGTGGCCGCCACGAGGCCGGCGGTGAGCCACGGGTTGAGAAAGTACTTCTGCCTCAGCGACGCCATCCACCGCCGCGGCCTACTCCGGAACCGCCGGTCGAGCACCTGGCACACCGGCCTCAGGTAGTTCTGGTCGGCCTCGTCGAAGTCGAACACGGCGCCCTTGCACAGGTTCGCGAAGAGGCCCGCGACCTCGCCGTCGTTGCCCAGGCCGTGCACGATCACGCCGCGCCGCGACAGCAGCTCCACGTCCCTCGCCGTGCACGCCAGCTGCGACATGAACACGCAGTACGCCGTCACGTGGCTCCCCGCCGCCGACGGGTTGCTCTGCTCCAGCGCCATCAGGTTCCGGAGCAGCCGCCACGTCTCGCCGTCGATGCTCAGCCGGGGCACCTGCAGCGCGCCGCCGCGCCGGCTCACCTTCACGTCGAGGATGCTGCGCGCGCCGCCGCCGCTGCTGAGCGGGCGGCGCTTGAACGTCACGCCGGCGTAGTGGTACTCCGTCGCCGTGCGCCACCGGCCCACGGACCTTCCGCCGCGACTGACCTTGCCGGAAGCGAGCACGGTAGGCGTGAAGTGCATGTGCAGCAGGTGGAGAAGGTTCGCCGGCTCCGGCCGCAGCGCCGGCGGCGCCACTATCGTCGGCGTCGCGACCGAGTACTCCGTCCAACTCAACAGGTCGTGCGCGTACCTCGCGATGGCGTCCAACACCGGAGTTTCGCCGTCGAGGAACGTCAGCTGGTGGACCTTGTCGACGACGAAGAACGGGATCTGGTTCTCGGCAAGGTAGAGCACGTCGCGGACCACCGCGACGGCCATCTGCTGGTCGTCTGCGGCCGCTCTCCTCTCCTCGGTCGGCACGACGCGGTGCCCCGCGTGCACGACGCCGTTAGCCACGGCCACCTCCTCCGCCGCCGCCGCCGCCGGCTGCGGCGGCGCCGCGGTGCGCGGCGTGAGCACGTCGCCGAAGCGGACGAGGATGTAGCAGGCGTCGAGCAGCAGCATGCGCACGAACTCCCTGCTTGGGATGTCGAACGAATGGACGTAGCACCTCCTCACGCTGTGCTCGAGGTGCGCCAGCTCGGAGAGGTAGTCCTCGAGCGTCATCGGCGCGGTGGAGCTCGCCGCCGCCGCCGAGAGGACGTCGCCGAGGTACTTCACCTTGATGGCCTCTCCGGCGAGGTCGGCGGCGCGGTGGTACGGCCCGATGGAGACGTACTGCGGCACGTACTCGTGCGGGTCGTGGATGCGGGTGGACTCACCAACCTTGTCGACGATGATGCACGGCGGAGGCGCGGCGCCGCCGACGACCCGCGCCGTCGACGACTTGAAGCTGGAGAGTTCGACCCTCAGTTCTTTCGCCAATGAAGGGATGTCAATCACACAGCTATCTGCAATCGATTAGCACAAAAAAGTCCTACTCAATTAGCACAAATAAACCATCAAATTATGCTCAATTTCAAATTTCTGAGCTGATCTAAGAAAGGATCTTGTTGGCACCTGTTTTCATCTCCAACTCTGCAACGCAACGAGTAGGATCGCCCCCCATCGTTTCTTCCTCCTCTGCGGCTCAGTCCAGCAGGAAGCAGAGGAGCAGCTGCCCTGTCACTAACAACTCCATTAGTGGCCAAGCGAGCATAAAATTCTCCAGAGGCGTTTTTATCCAATTGGCCGTAAGATCACATCGACGAGGAGATTAGATTAATCCACGCTTACGAGTGGAGGAGTATCTGTATCAGTTTATTATACAAAGATTGGTTGAGTGGGACCCTGATGAGAAAAGATGCTTAGGGGTTACAAGTCAAGTCAATCACCAAGACAAAATAGCAACAATAATTTGGACTCTGCCTTTTGACGGCTGGGGACCAGAAGAAAAGTACGGAGAGTATATTGACCTTACTGTAGCGAGCTTGCTAGGTCGAGAAAATTCAACTCGTGGTGTGCGCATGCGCTGATGCGCATGACGCATTGACGCCAATTGTTTGCAGTCTGATCCTCGTCCAAATCTTATTTTACAGTTGGATTTCTGTAACAAAATTATTTTCTCATAACAAAATTTTTATAATGCTGTTCAATTTTCTTAGAGCAACCTCAAGCAATTATTTTCTCGACGTTCTCTTAGAATTATTTGCTCGAGGTTACAGAGAATTATTTTCAAAAATTGACGTTCTCTGAGAAAATGAGAAAATTGAACGGTTACAGAGAAAATTTTGTTAGTATGATTCAATTTTTTACCATTAAGAACCGTATATATAGCATATTTTGTTAGTACGAAATTTTGTATAACAATTGGTACGAGATAAAAATAAGATTTGGACGAGGATTATAAAAATGATTCTGTTATGAGAAAATTGAACGGCATTATAATTCTCTGTAACCTCGAGCAAATAATTGAACGGTTAAAGAGGTTACAGAGAATGAGCAAATAATTTGGGTGAATAGGCAAAGTGGTCCTACAAGTTTCATCTGAGACACAGTTTAGTCCTTGATGTTTCAATCTATCCATATTAGTTCTTTAAGTTTTCATTTTAGTTCAAACTTATCCTTGAACCAACAACTCTCTTCATAAATGACACTTATACCCCTCATCATTCACATATATAAAAGAAAATTGCATGCTTGAATTTTTTTATAGATAATACATAGTATATTATGTAAAACGAAAATAAATTATGTACTAGAAAGTGTATACGATAGCAATTGCTTAAGTTTCATGTGCACATGTTGAAATAATGGGAAGTACATCTGTAATGTTGTTTATTCATGTTGACTTTCCCTTTTCTAGTATATAGTTGTATACAAATTAAGGGCAAAAAGGACATTTTTTAATAGAAATATTGACTAAAAATAGCCATATGGCATATTAAGTAGGCCCAAGGATGATTTCAAGCCAAAACAAATATTTGGAGGAGCTATGTGGACAAAATGAAACGTGAAGGACCAAATTGAGCCTTCGGTGAAACTTGAGGGACTAAATTAGCTATTCACCCAAATAATTTTGAAAATAATTATGAGAAAATGAGAAAATGAGCAAATGAGCAAATAATTTTGAAAATAATTCTCTGTAACGGTTACAGAGGTTATTTTCTCGAGCATTATAATTGACGTTCTCTGAGAAAATGAGGATTATAAAAAATTTTGAAAATAATTCTCTGTAACCGTTCAATTTTCTCGACGTTGCTCGAGGTCCGCAGAATCTTAGTTTGTTCTGATTTTGTCGCAAATAATGCTTTGGGTAATTTGTGTCCATGACTATTCGTAGAGAGCAAATAACTGCCAAAATGATGAAAAGGTTGCCTAGAGATTGGTGCTTTTGAGTTTTTAAAGATAGTTTAGATTCACATCTTTGAACGAAAAATGATGGTTAAGCAAATTCAACCCGGAGATTGGCCTAGTAGGGGACGTTGCTTTCAGTTCCCTTTCAAGATTATGCACATCATCAGTGTAAAAAAGGATCAAAACAAAGTGCATGTGTAATTAAGCAATTGCCAGGAAGGAGCTTGAAATCTAAACAAGAGCCAAGTGTGCCAAGCAGGCACACATCATCAGTCCAGTACTACTCCCTTCGTTTCACGATGTAAGTCATTCTAGCATTTCCCACATTCATATTGTATATGTCTAGATTCATTACCAACAATATAAATGTGGAAAATGCTAGTATATGTCTAGATTCATTAACAACAATATGAATGTGGGAAATGCTAGAATGACTTCCATTGTGAAACGGAGGAAGTAAGGTTTTTTTTTTGAGAGAGATTTGTAAAACCAAACCACAATACTTAAACTAGTTCATCTAGTGGCCACACGCACACAGTTTTTTTTCTAAAAAAAAAAACAAAAAGTGGTCCATGTTTCGTCTTCACGGCAAAAGCAATAAAAAACACAGTAGCTCACATCTTCAGACCTCAGCTCACTCCTTCCATCGATTAATTGCCACTAGCCCACCATAATCTTTAACCGGGAAAATTTTTCATTCCTCGAGGATGTTCCTTCGCTTTTTCATATCACCTAAATAGTTCTTAAAAAATTTAAAAATAAAATAAGATACCCTAATATGAAATATATCACTCACATACATGTAAATTGGAATTCAACTATAGAAAATTGAAATTCTACTTCTACATAATGTAAAAAATAACAATATAATTGTGAATGTACGTTAACTATTTTAATTTATTTTTTTAACTTGTAGAAGTTAAATTTAAGTTTTGTATGTTTGTGGAGTGAAATACTTTGTATTTATCTATGTTGTTAATTTTTTTAAAATATTTTGATGAGTTTTCAGATGGCATAACTTGAATCTCTGCCCTCAAGTATACCTTGAACCCCCACTATAAAAAAAAACCCATAGGCGTGGTTGTACACATTCTACAGTAGACCATCCTTTAAACCTAAGTTGGATCTTGCCGTCTCACTAGACACAGTGTCCACAGTTTCCTCAAATGAATTTTACGAACATAACCGATGTTTTTACATGCGGAATAAAAAAAGACTCGTGTGTAAAATATTTGAATGGATTTTCACAAGTGGATCTCTTAAATGGCCCACCTAAGAAAATATGTTTATTTCATAGGCATGTGAGGCCAGCCGCTCATCATAAAAAAAACTGTGGCTACCTTATCTCCTCACTTCCTCTACCTCATCTCCTAACTCTCATCACTCTCTCGAGATCTCTCTTTCTTTCTCACTCATAAGTCACTCTCTTTCTTTCTCTGATTTGATCTTCCTCGCCCCCCTTAGTCATGGCGGTAGAGGTGAGTTCGTCACGCCAGCCCCCATCAACGGCGAGTTCGGGCAGGCTTGGCTGGCTCCCTCGTCGATTTGGCATGGTGGCCTTGGGTGTAACGAAGGGGTGACGACGATGACGGGCACACACCGCGGGAAGGCAGCCGGGATCAGCGCAGCGTCAGTGGAGACGACCACCAACTTCGAGTGGATCCGCCGTAGCCAGCCACGAGAGCGCCCCTTCATCATAGATCCAACGGTAGCAGCGGCAGAGTCAGGTGTGGATTTGCCGTTATAGACCTTGGGAGTGCTCCTCCATTGTAGATTTGACGGTGACAGCAGGGAGCAGATCCACTATTGCCAGCCCTGGGAAGGCCTCTCCCTCAGAGATCCAGCGGCGGCGGCAAGGGGTGGCACGGATCAGCCATTGCTGACCTCTAGAGCATCCCTTCCTCGCAGATTCAGCGACAGCGACAGGGTGAGGAGCGGATCCACCATTGCTGGCCTCAAGAACGCCACTCCCTTGCAGATCCGCGGGTAGGGGGAGGCGTGGATCCGTCAGCGTAGCCTCGGGAGCGCCCTTCCCTCATGGATATAGCGACGATAGCAAGGGGAGACATGGATATGTTGTTAGGGGGGTCGGGGATGGCGGATCTGCATCTCTGCCCTCCTTTTCGGCAGAAAAAATCTCTATAGGCAATTTTTTTGGAAGATATATTTGTATAGTATTTTTTTATTAGTAGTTTCACCTAAATGATAGCGAGACATCATGGACAGCATTATATAGCGATTAAGTTTGCTTCCAAAAAAGATAGCAATGCAAAATCATGAAACATTTGTCGATATTGGCAAGATGTGTTAAGTACTCCCTCCGTTTCACAATGTAAGTCATTCTAGCATTTCCCATATTCATATTGATATTAATAAATCTAGATAGATATATATGTCTAGATTTATTAACAACAATATGAATATAGATATATATGTCTAGATTTATTAACAACAATATGAATATGGAAAATGCTAGAATGACTTACATTGTGAAACGGAGGAAGTAACTAATATTTTCGTGATCTGCATTAATTACAGTGAAAAGTTTCTTATGGTGCACCTTAAGCTTACAACTAACCATATAACAAATAAGTAAGTATTTCTTCTCACTTCTGCTTTCTGTATCCCTCTACCGTCACTCAAACGAGGTTGCAGCCACCTCTTAGATCCCAACTTTACACCCTATCACATCGAACGTTTGAACACCTGCATGAAGTATTTAATATAGGCTAAAAAATAACTAATTGCATAGATTGCGACTAATTTACGAGACGAATCTTTTAAGTCTAATTGCTTCATGATTGGGCAATATGGTGCTACAATAAACATTTGCTAATGATGGATTAATTAGGCTTAATAATTTCGTCTCGCGGTTTACTAATGGATTATGTAATTATTTTTTTTATTGGTGCCCGAACACCCCATACAGCACCCTATATAATACCCGATGTGACACGTCAAAACTTTACACCCCTAAATCTAAACACCCCCTTATTTTATTTTGTAGTAAGCTTATGTTGCAGATTACTAAGACCATAAACAATTTTTTTAAGAGAAGGGTATTTTTTACCCGGCCTCTATATCCAACCGGATATATGCAGCCTTTTTTAAATTAGGAACTTAGCCTATTAAACAGAGAATTTAGCCCTCAAATAATCCAATCTGAAATTCGCTCCTATGGAGATTTAAACTCAAGACTTTGAAGTGCTAATTAGGTTACTGCAATTACTAGGCTACATGCATTGTGTAGCATACAGTAACAAAGTCTAACTATGTATGAGTATTAAACATTGACCTTGCCCTTACCTGAGACCTATCGGCCTAAATATTCTTATTGGCCTACATAAAATGAGAACAAAAATATTATGATTTTATTTTCATTAAGAAAATAAATAATCGAATGAAGGGAACTACATGACACCCAACGTGCCATTTAGATAGAGAAGGTACTGTAGTAGGCTATAAGCCAGCTATAAACACATTTCGAGGAGATAAAAGAGTAGAGCGAAGAGGGGCTATATATTTGTAGTCAGCTACAGTACGGACTCCAAGGTGCATGTGTATGACAGATGAGACCAGATATTTTTTATGTAGTATATGTTTATAGGCAACTATTGTATGAATTGGCTATTAAGTTGACTATAGATGATTTGGGGCCAGCAGCTGGCTATACTATTATGCTTGCTCTATATGACTCTTCTCACGGCACCCATTTTGTTGGGGGCTGTGACCATATGTAGTTTGCTATACTATTATACTTGCTCTATACCACTCATCAATAGCGTCATTTTTTTCTACTATCTCAGAGAGTCTGCGCTCCCCCTAAATCGATCGATTGACCAGCATGTGAGGAGTTTTTTTTTTTTTTTTTACTTTACATCCAATAGACGTGGTTCACCTAAGAGCAAAGGTTAATAGTACAGCCAAGTGCTGGCTTCAAATAATCTATAGTCAACTTAATAGCTAATTTATACAATAGTTATCTATAAACATATACTACACAATCAATATCTGGTCCTACCTGTTATACACACATGCATCTTGAAGTTTGTGCTGCAGCTAGCTACAAATTAATTTGTAGCCCGTTGCTATTATCTATCCTCTTTTATCTCTTTAAATTAAATATGTTTATAGCTGGCTTATAGCTAGTCTGCTATTGTTCCTGCGTACTCTAAGGTGGAGAGCGTAAGGCCCTGGGGATTGGAAACGTTACCCTGTTGTGTTGGGTGAGGGTCGGGTGCTGCATTCTCCTAGAGTGATCTCCATAGCATTGACTATATGTAGTAACAAAATTGCAATACACATATCACAGTAGTAGTTCTCAAAAAAAGAAAAAAACACATATCACTGTACATGTAGAGTCAAAAGTTTACTGTTGGTTTATGCTAGCCCAACCAAAACAAATACGTGTCATGTTTATAAAAAAAATAATTAAATGATGGATACAAGAGTTATACATGTTGGTAAAAAATCGCAAAACGATGGATACGTACGGAAGTTATACATGTTAGTAAAAAAAAGAAGAAAATTCTTTATACGCCACTTAAAATTTACAAGTTTTCTTATATGCCACTGCAAAGTTACTATTTTCTAATACGCCATCTAACAAAAATTTTCATCCTTTATATGACACTATCAAGGTTAAACTGCTTTGACCTCATCAATTTTTCAACAAAATAATAAAACTACACTCGTGTGTTTTTCTGATTGCTTCTATTCAGCCATTGTCTAACATGCACACTTGAGCATGATGGTTCCACTTTACAATTGATATGTCATTTTTGCTAATCCACCCAAGAGATGTCCGCTCATTATTGCAGTCATTTAAATAGCTATGTATTTTAATAAATGAAAAGATGGATTAATATTTTATATATCAGTCCAAAAATTCAAATTAAAATTTGATCTTCACAAGTTGTAATAAAAAATAATAAATTTAATTGAAACTAGTATACATGTGCTCGTAGCCAAATTTGATGTTTTTTAAAAAAATTGTAAAAGTGAAATTTAAACTTGCATATATGTACAGTGATATGTCACATATTATTCTATCTTATCATTTTTTTATTTTTTATAATTATTTAGATGATGACATGTAATGAAACGACTGGACATTCCCTCAAGGTTTTAATAGGGTAATATATCTTCTAATTTTACATCCCTATTACACAAGATGATGACGTGGATGGCATATATGAGAGGAAAAAGGTTCAAGCAATGATATATATATGAAAGTATAGCAACTTTTCGATAACATATAAGGAAACTCATGATCACTTTGAGTGGTAAATAAGAAAACTTTCTCTAAAAAAATCACTGAATGATGGATGTGAAATTATACGACTGGGTAAAACAATCATTGAAATGATGGATGTTGGAGTTATTACTTTCAGTAAAAAAAAACTAAACGATCTCTACTGGAGTTAACCATCGGCTTCTCTAAGAAATAGGGAACTCGCTATACTTATATCAATTAAATATTGAAATCTGAAACCTACCATGCTTAAAAAACAATTACATAACGATTGATGCGTGAGTTTTGCATGGGTATGGCTAATTAGCGCGTGCGCCAGCAATGTAGCATTTTTTCTTTCGCTATTTTTTTTTGATTTTTTTCGCTTTTTTTATTTTTTATTTTAATCTTCAGCACATGTGTTTTTAAATCTGAGTTAAAAGTTTTTAAATCTGGACTTGAAAGTTTTCAAATCATAACTTAAAAGTTTCCAAATCTCGAGTTTAAACTTTTCACATCTGAGTTGAAAGTTTTCAAATCTCGAGTTGAAAATTTTCAAATATGAATTTAAAAGTTTTCAAATCTCGAGTTGAAAATTTTTAAATCTGAGTTGTAAGTTTTCAAAATTTGTCTTACAAATTTAAATTTCGATTTGAAAATTTTCAAAGTTTGAGTTGAAAGTTATCAAAATTTAACTTCAAAGTTTAAATCTTGAGTCAAAAGTTTTTAAATCTAACTTGAAAGTTTTCAACTTGTTAGTAAAAAATCTACCCAAAAAAAGAAAATTTTATCTCAATTATTGTCATTATCTAAACTAATTTCAGTCAGTTAGACTAAACTCCCGGAAAAGGCTCGTTGCCGGCGCGCACGTGCTAGGTAGCTTTTCCAGTTTTGCATCATACATATATATGGGAGTTTTTTTTAACTAATAACGGTCATCCATGCATATCCATTGGTTGAAAATCCAAGCATTACACAAAGACATGTCAAGAAAAAAAATTATCCAATAATCTTTTTACCATCCAGTCTTTCCCAAATATGAAAATTAACTAAAGTAACAACTTATTAAAAAAATAACGTAAAGATTAGTAAAGGAAGTTGGTGCCAATTGATTTCGAGTAATTTGGGAGGCAGGAAGAAGGTAAGGGCCGATGCTCTTGGGAACGGAAAAAAATAAGAACGAGGCCCAGTAATTATTTTGATGAAGAATGTGGGAGGGAAGGTTGGAGGTGTGCGCTCGGGGGCACTACGTAGCTACGTATCACCTGCGCGTGATACATAGGGCCACCGATCAAATGAACATAAATATATTACTTGTATAGATGGCCAAAAGGCCCGAGGCCCGACGGCCCGGCCCATGGCACGATATTTTGGCCCCGCCCATGGCATATAATATTTTGGCCCGACCACTGGGCCGTGCCTGGGCCCCTCCACCGGCACGTTGGCCCGGCACGGCCGGGCCGGCCCAGCACGATGGGCCGGCAGCTAGGCCCGATACACAATAAAAATAGGGGAGTAAAAATAGACATATTATATGCCATGAACGAAAGAATAGGGATCTAAAATAGACTTTTTTTATCTATACATATGTCAGCCGAAGAGGAGGGACAGAAAATAGACTTATTTTAGCTATACATATGTCAGCCCAAAGAGGAGGGACGGAAAATATACTTATTTTAGCTATACATATGAAATAGCCCAAAGAGGAGGGACGAAAAATAGACTTATTTTAAAAAGGCCCGATGGGCCACCTATGCCTTCGGGCCGGCACGGTACGGCCCGACAGCTGGTGGGTCGTGCCTGGGCGGGAGGTGCAGCCCATGGGCCGGCACGGCCCGGCACGAAGTGCCTATCGGGCCGGCATGCTGGGCCGTGCCTAGCCGTGCCTGGGCCGGGCCGTGCCGGGCGGGCCCTTCGGCCATCTATAATTACTTGTAGTATCAATTTCCTTTTTCCACATGTAGCATATAAGGATCGATTTTGCTATCGATCACTCGCGTGATTTTTTTCTGACATTTCACGTTTTTTTTCAGCCTCGTCAGCCGGCACGTCGGACACCAGCACGTCGGTTTTCGTGTCTAGCTAGCCCAAGCGCACACCATAATGGAGATCGGAGAAGCACGGTAACACAGTGGCCTCTGACCGGCGAGCCAGCCGCCGGTAGCACGGCCAATACTGATCGGCGAGAGACACCGTCCCTCTCATCGTTGTCGTGAAATATAAAATTACAGTCCTATATAACTAAAATTATATTTGTAAATTTAGTTGATTTGATATGTAAGTGTACTATAATTTTGATAAAAAATAATGTATAAGTAAATATGTACTTATTATTTTCTTTAAAATATAAAATTACAGTCCTATATAACTAAAATTACATTTGTAAATTTAGTTGATTTAACATGTAAGTGCACTGTAATTTTGATAAAAATAATGTGTTAGTAAATATGTACTTATTATTTTCTTTAAAATATAAAATTACAGTCCTATATAACTAAAATTACATTTGTAAATTTAGTTGATTTACATGTAAGTGCACTGTAATTTTGATAAAAATAATGTGTAAGTAAATATGTACTTATTATTTTCTTTAAAATATAAAATTACAGTCTTATATAACTAAAATTACATATGTAAATTTAGTTGATATGACATGTAAGTGCACGTAATTTTGATAAAAATATTGTGTAAATAAATTTGCATTAGTTATTTTATTTCAAATATAAAATTACAGTCCTATATAACTAAAATTACATATGTAAATTTAGTTGATATGACAGGTAAGTGCACTGTAATTTTGAAAAAAAATGTTGTGTAAGTAAATTTGTATTAGTTATTTTATTTTGTAGTCTGTTGGATGCAAATCCAAGGAAAGAAAAAATCTGGGTGATTTTTTCTCAAAAATCACCCGAGTGATGCATAGGCGGTCCCTATAAGGATATTATACGTACTCAATTATTCATGTTGTGGCTGAGAAAATGTAATCTAACTTAATGAAGTTATTAAAAATTAATCTAAAATTACAACTAAGTTTTAGAAACATGGGCTGTTAAGTCTTTCTTACATCTAAACAACATATACTTACAAGTTTCGGTTCTCAAAAAAGAACTTACATATTTAAGCTGACTATTCTTACACTCCACTGAAAACATGCACTATATAGATATATATATATATATGCTGCTACGCGCATGGGACCACTGCATGGCTGCTACGTAGCACGATACGTCACACAGCCACGTCACCACAGCTAGCTCCCTGGTTTTGTGTAACCGAGAACAGAGTAGACCGCCTGGATGACGGTGCAGACGAGGCCAACGGTGGCGGCCACGAGGCCGGCGATGAGCCACGGGTTGGCGAAGTACTTCTTCTTCAGCCACGCCATCCACCGCCGCGGCCGGCTCTGGAACCGCCGCTCGAGCACCTGGCACACCGGCCTCAGGTAGTTCATGTCGGCGTCGTCCGCGTCGAACACCGCCCCCTTGCACAGGTCCGCGAAGTGCTTGGCCACCTCGCCGTGGTGCCCCAGCCCGTGCACGATCACGCCCCGCCGCGACAGCAGCTCCACGTCCGCCGCCGTGCACGCCAGCTGCGACATGAACACGCAGTACGCCGTCACGTGGCTCCCCGCCGCCGCCGGGTTCGACTGCTCCAGCGCCATCAGGTTGCGGAGCAGCGGCCACGTCTCCGCGTCCACGGTCAGCTGCGGCATCTCCAGCGTCCCGCCGCCGCACCCGCTCACCTTCACGTCGAGGACGCACCGCGCGCCGCCGCGCCGATCGAGGGGCCGCTTCTTGAACGTTACGCCGGCGAAGTAGTACTCCATCGCCGTGCGCCACCGCCCCACGGGCCTACCGCCGCCGCGGCGGCGGCTACCGGTGGTGGCGGCGGACGTCAGTACTGTAGGCGTGAAGTGCATGTGCAGCAGGTGGAGGAGGTTGGCTGGCTCCGGCGGCCGCTCCGGCTCCTCCACCTTGGTCGGCGTCGCGACGGAGTACCCGTTCACCCGCAGGAGCTCGTGCGCGTACCTCGCGATGGCGTGCACCGCCGGAGTCTGGCCGTCGAGGAACGTCAGCTGGTGGATCTTGTCGACGACGAAGAAGGGAATCTGGTTCTCCGCGAGGTAGAACACGTCGCGGACCACCGCCACGGCCTCCTGCTGGTCGACGGCGGATTCTTCTTCCCTCTCCTCCACCGACGGCACGACGCGGTTAGCCTCTGCCGCCACGGGCGCCTTGCTGCGGCGCCCGACGACGACGTCGCGGAGGCGGACGAGCACGTAGCACGCGTCGAGCAGCCGCCGGCGCAGGAACCCCTTGCAGCTCGGGACATGAAACCATCTCCTCACGCGGCGGAGCACGATGCCATCCGCCGTGGTCTCCTCCTCCTCCTCCACCTCCTCGTCCTCAGGTCGGCGCCTCATCACGACGTCGCCGAAGCGGACGAGGATGTAGCAGCCGTCGAGCAGCAGCCAGCGCAGGAAATCCTTGCTCTGGACGTGATCGAACGACAGCTTGTAGCATTTCCGCGCGCGAGCCTCCATGCGCGCGAGCTCGGTGATGAAGTCCTCCAGCTGCAGCGGCGCGGTGGTGTGCGCCGCCGCCGCCGACAGGACCTCCTGGAGCCTACCCACCTTGTCGGAGTCCCTGGCGAGCTTGGACTTGCAGTCGCAGCTGCGGTTGTACGGCCCGATGGAGACGAAGTGCGGCTCGTACTCCTGCTTGTCGACGTTGCGGGTGAGCTCGGCGACCTTGTCGATCATGATCGACGGCGGAGATGACTCGCCGCCGGCCCGCCCCGTCGTCGGCGAGTTCAGGCTTGCGAGTTCATGCTTCAGTTCTTGCGCCAGTAGTGAGGCCATCTCAATGACATGTTGATCTGTAATCCAATATCACAAAATCGTCAGGTGTTAGCTAGATGCATGATTATTAGACATATCCAAATTGTTGAGCTGATCCAAGAAAGAGTCTTGTTGACACCTAGCCTCTCCATCTATGCAGCAGCAGGACAAGTAGGATTGCCTCCCTCTCCCTTTCTTCCTTTCTTGACTCTGCTGCAGCCTGCAGGTCTTCAGCATATACACCTGCAGGAAAACAGAGCAGCTGCCCTAGCACTCCATGGATGGCAAAGAATATATATATAGGGAGTTTAAAGAACAGTACTTTACTACGAGTTGGTAGCTGCATAAAATTCACCAAATTAATTCATGCCATCATACTCGCGATAAGATCAAATCAACGAGGTGATTCACAGTTTCTTCACACTCTGGAGAGTACCATCATTTTACAGAAAATATTAACCGAAAGGTACGACAGTGGGACACACTTTGGAGAGAGATGGCAGACGTTATTACAAGTCAGTCAACCAGTAGGGATCGAGCAAGGGTACTGGTCTTGTTAATTTGAGACTCAATGTGTCCCGATTCTTTGATGGCTGGGGAGTGGGGACAAACTCGAGAGATATACTAGCACCAGCTTACGACTGACCATACTATAGCTTGAAAGGTCGCGTGGATGTTTCACGTGCAGCAAAGAATCCGGTCACTGTGGATGTCAGTCCAATTGTCTCAGTCCGTCAAGTTTTCAGTATTAGTTAGTCCAGTACAGTGTTGACTTGTTCTGATATGGTGCTTGAGTATTAGTGGAGCGTAAACTACTGTAAATCTCCATGGTGATAGTATGTGGTTTTGAAAAAATAAATGCAAACTTAAATTCACTCAAAAACCAGAAAACATTTTTTGTCCATCTCGTTATTCATGTCAACTAAAAAAATCATATTTTTCTTTAAAATATAAATAAGATAGATCAATATGTGATATGTTACTTCAAAAATAATAATAAATATGACTGTCAATAGTACGCATTATTCATAATCATATTTTCGACTTATCCCATGTTAATTTGTTTTATACCAATTATTTTTACAGTTGCTTTAATTTATAGTTTTTTACTGGCAGGCATTAAAAAGAGGCTTCACTCCCGAAAAAAAAAAAGTCGTGGAAAGAAAAACCAACTTCATCAATCCCCAAATGGATAGAATCCCCAGACGCTATACTTTCTAAACTCAAAGATTAAATTAGTGACTTCGCTGTCTGACTTAATAAGGCCCCTTTGATTCAAAAGAAATTCATAGGAATTTTAGAGGATTTCATTTCTATAAGAATTTTTCCTATAAAGCCCTTTAAATTAAAGGAATGAACCATATGAAATCCTATGAAATTCCTATGGAATGTCTCTTCCTATACAAGTTTTGGAGGAATTTTAACAAGAAGTAGAATCTCATGGAAGAAATCCTTTGAGTCTTTATCTCTCCTCAAATTCCTGTGTTTTTCCTGTGGTCCAATCAAACGGTCATTCCTATATTTTTCCTGTGTTTTGCAATCCTCTGTTTTACACTTATATTTCTATCAGAATCCTGTTTTTTTCTATTCCTCTATTTTTTCATTCCTGTGATTCAAAGGGGCCCTAAGATCAGGGTTTCATTTACCGCCGGGGCCGCGGTTACCGCGCCCCGGCGGTAAGCACGGTTACCGCACGGTAACCGCGGTAACCGTGACAAACCGCGACAAACCGTACAAAATTTATCAAAAATTCAAATTATTTTTCAAATTTATTTGAATTTGACGCGGTTACCGCGGTTTACCCCTTACCGTACCCCCGCGGTAAGCGCGGTAACCGCGGTAACCGCGCGGTTTACCGCGGTAAATGAAACCCTGCCTAAGATTGTTCCCATCATCATCGCAAAGATCGTAGAGACGATCAACAAATTGGACGTGTGCACTGCAGACGCATGGAATATGGGAAAAGAGGTACTATGCGAAGCAGACACACGTCTTCTATGTACAGCTACATTTATTGCGACATTCCATTCCTCATTAACCACAAACAAAATTACCTCACCCAGGTGGCCACATATGCATATAAGAATGCGGTCCATCTTTCGGGCATGTTTACTTTGATGCTAAAAAAAAATCTTACTAAATTTTGATAAAGTTGCTAAAATTTTGGTAAGATTTCTTATATAGTTACTAAAATTTGGAAGCAAACTAAATATAGCCATTTTTTTGACAACTTTACCAAAATTTGGTAAGGTGATATCAAAATGAGCAGGCCCTTCACCTCGACAAAGAAGTACAAAAACATCTACTCCGGCTCACATTCTAGAAGCTTCATGACACCATGATCGGTAGAAGCTTCATGACCAAATTAAGTGGACCAGGAATAAATATATAAAAAGTTGACCCTGGGTCAAGGCAACTTTGCTGTGGCTATTGGCCAATAATCTTGAATTCTTGATGACTAGGGCTCGTTAAAGATTGGCCGCTGTTAAAGGGGATAGTACTACTGTCGGATGCCTGCTTTGCTATCATTTGCGTGCAGCCTTGCAGTCTTAATTTGTATTTTCGATCAGATTTGTAAATCTCGGCCTTTGCCTGCATGATTAACTGTTAAGCTAATCGGTCGATTGTCGTCCTTCTGTTTATTCTCAGTTTTCTTTGGCAAAAGGCAAAGGTAATTTAGGACCTATTTGGTTCTCTACCCTACAAATTAATTGAGACAAAATTTGGCACTACCGTTTTGATAGGACAAAGTTAGCTAGCCTATGTTTGGTTTAATACTAATATAAAGCCAAATTTTAGTAGGATGGTGAAGAAGATTCTATAATATAGCCAAATTGAACATGGGCACTACCAAATGTTTGGCTTCAATCTAAACTAGCACGTTTACTATTCAAGTTACCAAGATTTTGATAGGAGCACGTTTTGGCCTTATTTTGTTTGCAACATATAGTGGAATCACCCTTTTTAAGCTTCCTCGATTATTCCTATTTCTCTTGTGATCTCACAAACAATCGCCATATGTGTGCACTTTACCTGTTAAAAAATTGTCACGGACGATATGTTATACTAGCTACTCCGAGTAGTAACACCTTTACTTGTCTACAAATACTCCCCCGGTCCTTAAAAAAAACTACTAACGACAATTATATCCATGCCCCTCTTTTAACCCCGACTGTTGTTTTTCTCTCATTTTTTTAGGGTTTGTATTTTTACCCCTTATTTTGAAAACTGATTAGACGTTTGCCCTCACTTTTGACGCCTATTAGGCAGGTCCACTACACTAAACATGCCTTGTAGAGATATTTTCCTAATACTATAGAGACATTTTAAAATGTCTTTATAGTGTTGTGGTCTCGTAAGTGTTTTATGGTGAATTATCTCTAGGAACTAAGAGACTTTTATAATTTATCTCTATGCAAAATAGAAGTACTTCATAGACGAATTGTCTCGTCTCTACGAACTAAGAGTCATTTTATAAAACGTTTCTATGCAAAATAGAGGCGCTTTATAGCAAATCAAAGTGAAAAAAGAGAAAAAAAATCATTCCTTACCAATCCTTGAGCTCATGACATCTTGAGTTGACAAATTTTACTTTCAATTAACTAACCATCTCAGCCTCATATAATTACTTATATAAATGTGCTTCGTCTTGAGTTGACCATTTCTATCTTCAATGAACTAATCATCTCAACCTCATGTAATTACTTATATATATATGCTTCGTGTTGCTTATATCTAGTTACTTAGTATATATTAATATTCAAAAAAGTGGCTCTACAAAGGTTTAAATGCCTCGAGTAAATACCTTTACATATGAGTCAAATTTTAAAGTGCTAGATAGATGTCTCTACAAAATAAATTTAACAAAATATGCTAAAAGTGTCTCTAAAGTAAAAGTATTTTAGGTGGTTAGAAAGTGTCTCTAGATTATAGAGCTCCGGATTCAGAGGCAATTTGAAAATTACCTAGACAAAAGTACCTCTACATAATATTTTGGTTGTACTGGTCCCACGGTTTTTAGTTAAATAAATACTAACGGAAATAAAAAACGATTTATGAAATATTGATTTACCGTTCTACCCATACGGTACTCCCCTAGCTATCCCATCACCACCCAAAAACCCAAGAGGAGGCGATGGCTGTGGCGGTTCTCCGGCGAGCACACAGCTACGGTGAGTGTGGTGGGTCCCTAGGGGTGTCGAGGCGGTGGCCGCTGGGTTTCTAGCGCAGCGAGTGGCAACAAGGTGCATGGAGCCCAGCAACGATCGCGGAGCTTTTTGCGCGGCTCCAAAGCAGGCGAAGGCCACTAGGCCTTTTCGTGCCCTGCTGTAGTGAGCGGAGGCCAGGTGCACGATGGCTGCGGCCTGCGGGCTTCCCGTGCCCATCTGCTAGCAACTCGGTAGCTGGTAGCTGGAAGGGAGGTGGAGGTGCTGCCAGATGATCTCAGGAAGGAAGGTGAAGGTGACGGGAAGAGCTTCAATGGTGGAAATTCTCTTAAAGTTTTGTCGAAACTTTTTGGCATCTAACCACCCATCTTGCCATCACCTCATCTGGAAAAAAAGTAAGCACACTATGAAAATCAAAATCTTCCTTTGGCTCTTATTCAGTTCGCCGACCTTGTCGATGATGATTGGCGTCGAGCAGGGGCGAATGCATCAAGTAAAAGGAGTGGTAGCCAAGGGTCTACTGCTAATTAGACTAAGGAATTAAAAATATCAAGGGGCCATTTCCCCCTCTCGTTGTAAATTAACTGGGGACCAAGGCCCACACTTGGTATACTCTAGATCCATCCCTGTCGACATTGAAGCAGTGTTGTCGCTGTCATACTCCACTGTCGACGGCTTTAAGCTAGTGAGTTTAGTAGTTGCGCCAATATTGAAGGAATGTCAATGACATGTTCATCTGCAACCGATTAGCACAAGCATCAATATCAAATCCTCGTCAAGTTATTAGTCATCCAAATTGTTGGGTTGATCCAAATGAGCACGAGCTCGGTGATGAAGTTCTCCAGCTGCATGCAGTGGCGCGGTGGAGTACGCCGCCGCCGCCGCCGAGAGAACCTCCAGTCTACGAACCTTGTCGGTGTCCCTGCTAAGATCAAGGGTGGTTGTACGGCTGCTAACAGTGAAATTTGGTAAGCCCCTAAGAGAATTATTACGTCGCAAATAGTCGGATTACTGCTATATTCGGTTAAGGAAATTAATCTATTAAAGGAAGCTTATCCAGAAGTGATCACCGAGTTCAAGGAGGATGCGGCATGGCAGTTTATCTATTAATTAGGCATTATTTGTTAGTTTTCTTTTATCTTTAGGAAAGTGTATTTAGTGTCCTATAAGGATTTTATGTTTTCCTTTTATCTTTTAGGAAAGTTTCTTTCTTGTCCTACAAGGACTAGTATCTCCCCATGGGTATAAATATGTATACCCGGGGCCATTGTAATATATCTCTAGATCAATACAACTACTCTCGGCGCATCAACACCCTCTTTACCGAGGTTTTTACTTATCATCCGGCGGAATTTGGCACCTGACGCGGGGCTGCATCGGTTCAGTTCGATCTCCGGCGAAGGGGTAAGTCCAACGTTCCGCCGGCCCTGGTGAATCTATCGGCTACGTTGGTGTTGTTCAAGGCTGTATCGCTTCGATTTCATGGATCGTTCTGGTTTGGTTGATATATTTGCCTACCTGATATCTCAATTCTATCTCTAATTGCATTATGTTTAGAGACGCATCGGTTTAGTTGGGAATGTCTCGGTTAGGTCCGATCTTCTGTCTTAGCCGATATATCTCTACAATCAAAATGTTGTTCTAAATAGATTTGTTATATCCATCACATTAGACAGATCTATCGGCTCATCGAGTATTAGATTATCATATACAATTTCATGTTGTATCGGTTAGGTTCGATCTACTAGATTGTTGTTGATAATATAAATTTTGTTGAGCCGATATGTTCATGCTAGTGTTTTATCAGGGTGCTAGCCGATAAGTTATCTGAACGTTGCATCGGTTTATAAGGATTACTACAAGTTGGGTTTAGCCGATCGCAACAAAGGTTTCACTGTTTAATCTAATCTTGTGGATTTTATGACATCGGGTCAGTGCTTATTCTATCATGTCATTGTTAGCCGATTGGTTTCTACTAGACTATATTGTTGCTTTCTTGCATTATCATCAGCCGGTTGACTTTATGTTGTTATTTACATCAAGCGTCAGAATCTACATCAAAATTATAGCCGATAGCTCAAAACCCTATCGCTATCGGCTGGAATTAATCTATCGGCTTGTCAACCGATCGGCTCATTGATCTGCTATTTGTATATCTTGTCAGTTGCAGGGTTGAACTGGCTGGCACGCCCGCATCTCATCAACTTTTGGACCTGTATTGGAGCTAAGCAGATCTCCCAGTCCAGTGTGTGTTTTTCGCGTCAACAACGGTCTCAATGGAGATGAAGGTGCGGCACGTACTCCAGCTTGTCGACGTTGCGGGTTAGTTCGCCAACCTTGTCGATGATGATCGACGGCGGAGCAGACTCGTCGTTGGCCCGCCTCGAACGTTCAGGCTAGCCAGTTCATCCTTGAGTTCTTGCGCAAACAGTAAAGCCATCTGAATGACATGTTGATCTGTAATCCAATATCACAAAATCGTCAAATCGCCCAATTGCTGAGATGGTCCAAGAAAGAATCTTGGTGTTCACCTAGCCTCTCCATCTATATTCAGGACAAGTAGGATTGCCTCCTTCCTCTTTTAACTCAGATGCAGCACACACCTGCAGGAAGCACGGCAACTCTCCTTGCCACTACCTACCACCATGAATGGCAAGTATATATATACTAGAAACAGTGCCAAACAGTGTCTCAAATAGTAAGAATCACTGTAGCAACAGTGTCAACACAGTGGTAAAATGGCTACTATCACGGACCTTCGCGGTGCCGCACGACCGTCGGTCCCACGTTTTCACCCCGCTAAATGGGTATATTTTTACAAATCATTTCTATGCATATATATAAACGTAAATTATTGAAAAAAATAAGTATATTTGCAATTTTTTCCCCAGAAGCCCACACAAAGCCCGCTGGTGATCTGTCCGAGGAAGGCCAGTTAGCTTCTCTCTCTAACATATTAGTACATCACGCTAGCATCAAATAATTAAGTGGTACTCCGCCACCGCCGCCAGCCCGCTTTTCTTGGATCGAATACAGAGAACTAATCCAATCAAAGATGGGTGAATGGTTGTTATATCTAAAAACCTAAATTTTTCGCGGAAATAAAAGTTACACTCAAATTCGACGGATTGCGGTCTGATCGAAGTAGTCGTGCCGGTCTGACCGCCTGGAAGCCGTCGGTCTGACTGAGGTTATGTCTCTGGTCTGACCATCGAGATCAATCGCCGCGCCTGAAGTCGCCGCCAGTCTGACCGCCTCGTACCCGCTGGTTAGACCACCGAACCCGAGAAAGCACAAATCGAAGAACTCAAGATGTAGATGATAACTTTATTACTTCTATATGTGTTTACAAAGTGCAACTACAACACTCCTCACGAAAATCTCGACTAAACTCGAAACCCTAACTCAACTATCAACTCAATGCTCTCTAAAAGCGATACTAAGAAGCCCCACACTCTCTCTCTATTTATACATGAGGTAGGCAGCCTAAAGCCACGAACCAAACTCATACTAGAAGTCCTAATCCACCTAGGAAACCTTCTCGTACAAGAAACAAACTTTAGAAACTCCAATCATACCAAATTTGTACTCCTTCCAAATTCGACTTCGCATCCCACACGCACACAATACCTCCATCGTATACCATATAGAATCTTCACCAACCACGTGCATTGAACTCTAGCCTAAGTATCCCGCATGATATCTGACCGTCACGGACGTCGTCTTATCCTCAAGTCGACTCCTGATCCATCACCGGCGATACTCTCCCGAGGCATCAAGTCACCTACACATGAATCAAACAAAGAAGCCATATTCCGAGACCATGCTATCTCCAACTTGACTCATTGTTAGCAAACAACAGTATTACATACGTATAGTATCCATCTGGAAGCCATAAACATGAAACATCCACGGATATCCAACAAATCAACCCGAAACCGAAACCGACAAAGAGCTGGCTAGTCAGACCACAGGCTAGTTGGTCTGACCGCTCGCATAGTGCCAGTCTGATCGGCAGCACCTGCCCAGTCTGACCGGACCCGACAATCAACAGTCCCTGTTCATCACCTAAAAATTTCAATCATCTTCAAAACCATTTCGCCAATAATCTTCAAATATCAAAACTAATAATCTCATATGCTAATTGTTCATCTCAAAATAAGGAATCAATAAACACTTTGATTTTACAGCTTTGCCGGACGGCCGGCGGCTGGTAGCTAGAGACGTGATCAGTGACGACCACTGATCAGTATTCAGCAATTAATCAGTACACAACGGCAAAAAGCTTCATCATTTGCATGTGGAGCAAAGGCAGGTATATATACAAAATGCTGACCTTGGGCCAAGCCAATTCAAGTGGCTTCCGCCCGATCGAGTACGGTAGCTTTGCTCTGGCCAATAACCTTGATGGCTGGTGCTTCAAAGAAAACTGACCGCTGCAAAAAGGATGAGAGATATTGTGCCGTCTTTCCGTGCCGCTAGGCTTTGCAGTCTTCGTTTTCTTCGTTCAGATTTGAAAATCTCAGCCTTTAATTAACCTTCATGATCAATTGTTAGGTTTGTATCATCCTTTGATAAATTTCATATTCTCCGTTTCCTTTATCTCAAAGGAAAGAGAGAGAGAGAGAGAGAGAGTGGGGAAATGGATTTACAAAGTGCCGTTGATGCATAGACTTGTAAAAGAAGCTTATTTGGCAAAGGCATTGTTGTTCGGAGAACCTTGCAACGCAGTGGAATCACCCTTTTCAGATTCCTTGATTATTCATCTTCCTCTTATCCTCTCTTCCAAAACAATAATCGCACTTCCGTGTGCGTGCACTTTGTTGCCTGTTAAAAAATTGCCAAGATGGGTGTGCATGGTTTGGTATCATGCACAATCAGACTTGAGTGAGTGACACCAAGATGGCCAGGATATCGGAATATACGTGCATTGCTCTGTTGGCTTTTTACTCTCAGAGCCTAAAATTTCTCACATTAATTGAAATATAGCGAAACAACAATTTATTATTGTTTCGCTCTCACGTCTAAAACTTATATATTAATTGGAGAAAAAGATAAGTGCTAAAATACCTAAAATTCGGCATAGAAATGAATAAAATTAAAAGAACAGCCCATATAAAAATAAAACTTGCAAAATAACTAAACTTTGGATTAACATTTAACAGTAAAATAGTATTGACAGAAGAGTTGATCTAGATATACAATTTAGAAATATCTACATTTGAATTAAAAAATAATATTGAGAGAAAGAGTGATAAATAATATTTATAAATGTTCGCAATTTGGATTAAAAAATAAATATCATTGAGAAAAAGATTTCATTAAGAGTATAGTTTAAAAATATTTGAAACTCGGACAAAAAACAATTAATATTTGGAGAAGAGTCGATATCTTCACTTGTACTATGTTTTTTTTTTAGGGTTCACTTGTATTAATTGAGGCTCTCCTAGACCCCCATTAATCCTAGGAGATAAAAAATCATGTTAGTTGAAAATTCTTAAAATCCATAATCAAGAAAAAGAAAAATATCTTGATCATTTAATGTACACAAAAAACGCAACTAAAAAATATGAGATTGGATCAACAAACCTATACCTACATGACAATAAAATTCCCTTCAAATGCTAGAAATTAAACAAGAGCAATAACATCAAAATAAAATAATGGACAAAAACAACGTCTAGTATAAACCAGAAAACAATCATGCCATCATCTACGTACTGCTTTAAAAAAAACATTAGGTGGTGATTTATTTTGTGAGATATTATCTTTTCAGATTTTCTACTTCTGGCATCATTTTGTGCAAGGAAAGAATAAGTTTTTTTTTTTCATTTTAACCTACTTTGTAGTACGTCTTGTTCCTTAGTACAATATATACATCACTTGCAAGAGGTTGGTTTTCCCATAGGCCTTAATTTGGCAAACTATGGCAAGTTGTGATTGGCAAAGCCCTAAGTTAAATTATTTTGCTCTACAATGAAACAGGCATGTTGTACAATAGGCTGCTTGCTATGCACATGGACCACTGTCTCTGCCAATAGACCCGCATCATCCTTTTTTGTAACTCAGAACGGAGTAAACCGCCTGGATGACGGTGCAGACGAAGATGACGGCCGCCGCCGCGAGGCCGGCGGCGAGCCACGGGTTGGCGAAGTACTTCTGCTTCAGCCACGCCATCCACCGCCGCGGCCGGCTCTGGAACCGCCGGTCGAGCACCTGGCACACCGGCCTCAGGTAGTTCTGGTCGGCGTCGTCCACGTCGAACACGGTGCCCTTGCAGAGATCGGCGAAGCGCTTGGCGACCTCGCCGTTGTTGCCGAGGCCGTGCACGATCACGCCCCGCCGCGACAGCAGCTCCACGTCCATCGGCGTCGACGCCAGCTGCGACATGAACACGCAGTACGCCGTCACGTGGCTCCCCGCCCCCGACGGGTTGCTCTGCTCCAGCGCTATCAGGTTGCGGAGCAGCCGCCACGTCTCGCCGTCGATGTTCAGCTGCGGCACCTCCAGCGTGCCGCCGCCGCCGCCGCTCACCTTCACGTCGAGGATGCTGAGGGCGCCGCCCTTGCTGCGGCGATTGAGAGGCCGTCTCTTGAACTTCACGCCGACGAAGTAGTACTCCATCGCCGTGCGCCATCGGCCCACGGGCGCACCGCCGCCACCGACAGCGGCGGCGGATGTGAGTACGGTGGGCGTGAAGTGCATGTGCAGCAGGTGCAGAAGATTGGCCGGCTCCGGCCGCCGTTCCGGCGGCCCCACCATGGTCGGCGTCGCGACGGAGTACTGCTTCTGCTCCAAGAGTTTTCCGGCGAACCTCGCGATGGCGTCCAGCGCCGGAGTACCGTGGTCCAGAAACGTCATCTGGCGGACCCTCTCGACGACGAAGAACGGAACCTGGTTCGCCGCAAGGTAGAACACGTCGCGGACCACGTCGAGGATATACTGCCGGTCGGCGGCGGATGCTCTCCTCCTCTCCACCGACGGCACGACGCGGTTCCCGCCCTGCACGGCGCCGTTCGCGCTCGCCACGGCCGCCGGCGCCGCCGGGCGTGGGCGGCGCCCGACGACGTCGTCGACGTCGCCGAAGCGGACGAGGATGTAGCATGCGTCGAGCAGCAGCCAGCGCAGGAACTCCTTGCTCGGCACCACACCGAACGTGTGGCGGTAGCTGCTCCTCGCGCGGGCCTCGAGGAGCTCGAGCTCGGCGACGAAGTCCTTCAGCTGCAGCGGCGGCGCGGTGGAGTACGCCGCCGCCGCGGCGAGGACCTCCTGAAGCGTGCGCAGCTTGTCGTCGTCGTCCCCGGCGAGGTCGGCGTTCCTCATACGGCTGTACGGCCCGATGTAGACGTGGTGCGGCAGGTACTCGTGCGGGTCGACGTTGCGAGTCCGTTCGCCGACCTCGTCGATGATGATCGGCGGCGTCGGAGAAGGGTCGCCGTCGCCGGCCAACTCCGTCGACGGTGGCTTCAGGCTAGTGAGTTCAGTACTCAGTTCTTGCGCCAGTATTGAAGGGACGTCAATGACATGTTCATCTGCATCGAAGCAACAATCAAATTCTCATCAAGTTAATAGTCATCTAAATTGCTGAGTGATCCAAGAAGAATTAATAATCTTGCTCACACCTTGCATCTCCATATGTGCAGCACAAGATTTTTTTTCTTCTGGTGTTCTGAAGTATACAGCCGCAAGAAGCTGAGCAGCGTTCCCCTGTTACCACCACTCCATCCATGGCCAAACGCGCACATATATAGGCAAAAAAAAGGCACAGATTGCAACAAAGGTGCTTGCATACAATTCTCCAAACTTTCATCTCATTTGCGATAAGATCAGATCAACAAGAAGATTCACGCGCACGAGGGCATTATCAGTTTAGAACAAGGATTAGCCGAAAGGTACTATCAGGGGACACTTTGGACAAAGATGCCATTGCAAGTACGTCAGTCAAGCACTACGGAGACAGCGGTACACTTGTTAATCAATTTGGACTATTGTCTCTTCAATCTTGACTCCTACTGACCTTACTATGGCTTGGAAGGTCGCATGGATGTGTCACGTACTCACGTCTCACGTGCAGGTGCAGCAAAGAATTTGCTCACTAAATGATGATGTTCTTTTCTAATAAGATGAAGAAAAAATTAGGGTACCTAAAACAAAAAAAACAATTAGGACATGATTATTTGGTTTTAATTATTACAAACTTAAAAAAATGGACTTATTTGACATTTTAAAACAACTTTTAGAGAGAGAGAGTTTTTGCATGAAACGTATCGTTTAATAGTTTGAAAAGCATACCAATAGAAATCAAGGTAAAATTTATATTTTAATAAAAAGAACACCACTGATATGTCTGTCCAATTCTCCTCAGTCCATCAAGTTTTCAGCATCAGCACACTGTTGAAAATAATTGTGAGGTTCACATGTGTATATGAAAATTACTCCGGCAATACAAACCTTAATTTGTTCTGGTTTTACTCATGTTCAGAGGTGCATTTACTGTATATGTCAAAAGTTATCTATATAGATGAGACACATATATATATATAGACTTTAATTATATCAATCCTTAATAGTACAATGTACGTAGATAGAAGGTAACATTAGAATAAGAAAGAGAAGTAGAGATAGATAATATTGTTTGTTTCATATGAGTAGTTTACATGCATATAGATACCTTTTATTATTTTTTTTCATATTATGGGCTAGTTGCACAATGATATTATAATATTATCTATGGACTATTTTTGCACCACATTGTGGATGCCCTTCGCGCTATCTAGATATATTGATCTAGTATAAATTTGTCATCCGAGGTTATTGAGTTACATTTATTTTAGTTACAAATACAGTCGTTAAGAGCAGGTACAATAGCAGGCTATAAGCCAGCTATAAACATATTTTAAAGAAATAAAGGAAGAGAGAGAAGAGCAGCGGGCTACAGATCTGTAGCCAGCTGCAGCACGGACTCCAAAACGTAACGTATATATGACAGGTGGGACCAGGTATTAATAGTATAGTAAGCAACTATTGTATAAAACGGCTATTATATTAGGTCTAGATGATTTGAAGTTAGCACCGGGCAACCTCGGCAAGTTGTTGTAAATGGAGGTGGGGCCGGTAGACATGCATGGTCATTGACCCTGAGTCAAGCCAGCCAAGTGCCTCCGGCAATCAACGACAGTATTATCATATATGTGGCACTGGCAGCTTTGCTCTGGCCAATAATCTTAACGGCTGATAGTACTCGACAAAGATTGGACGCTAGCTACTACTTCCTCCGTTTCATAATGTAAGTCATTCTAGCATTTCTCATATTCATACTGATATTAATGAATCTAGATAAATATATATGTCTAAATTCATTAACAACAATATAAATGTGGAAAATGTTAGAATGATTTACATTGTGAAACGGAGGGAGGAGGGAGTAGCTGATAAAGGGGATAGCACGTAGTACCGTCATCGGATGCTTGCTGTCGGTTGCCTGCAGTAGCCTTGCAGTCTCTGTATTTTCGGTCCAAGATTTTGTTAATCTCATCCTTTACCTGCATGCATGATTAACTGCTACTTCCTCCGTTTCACAATATAAGTCATTCTAACATTTTTCATATTTATAATGATGGTAACGAAACTATATAGATATATATGTCTAGATTCATTAACATCAATATAAATATGGCAAATGTTAGAATGACTTACATTGTGAAACGGAGGAAGTAGGTTTGTGGACGATCGTCCTTTAATTTGTTTATTCTCTTCAGTTTTCTTTAGGGCATGCAAAAGGAAAGGATAGAGAGTGGACGAAGCTCACACGAAATGAATCTTAGCCTGCAGGCAGGATAGTTGCATAGACTATTTGGCAAAAGGGCAAAGGCGACGTTGTTTGCTGGAATCTTTCTACATATAGTGGAATCACCCTTTTGAGATTCCTTGATTATTCTTCTGCTCCTTCTTCCACTTATCCTCTCGCCCCAAACAATAATCGCCCTTCTCTTGTGCCCATTTTGCCTGTAAAGAAAAACTCTCATGGAGCATGGAGGGAGCTAGACTACTCGAGAAGTATAAGTAGTAGAATGGTTTTTGTGGGTTCCCACCTTGCAATCAATTAGAGTAGTTGTCAATTGAAGACTTTGAAGCACATACGAACACCTTTGTTGATTGACTCATGGTATAGCTAGCGAACTAGATGTATGGAGCCTGTGTGCCAACACTGATGGAAATGGGATGCTCTTAGGGTGTGTTTAGTTCACGCTAAAATTAGAAGTTTGGTCAAAATTGGAACAATGTGACAGAAAAGTTAGAAGTTTGTGTGTGTAGGAAAGTTCTCATGTGATGGAAAATTTGGAAGTTCGAAGAACTCGGCCTTATTCTGTTTATGTCCATGGGTGTGTTTAGTTCACGCCAAAATTGTAAGTTTGGTTGAAATTGGAACGATGTGACGAAAAAGTTGGAAGTTTATGTGTGTAGGAAAGTTTTGATGTGATGGAAAAGTTGGAAGTTTGAAGAAAAAGTTTGGAACTAAACTCAGCCCATTTTGAATTTGAAGAGACCTCAAGCTGTATAAGATTGGGCAATAATCACTGGTGGAGAAACCATCTTTGGTCGGTCCACCCAAATCCACAATAGTCCCGGTTCCATTAAAAACCGGGACTAAAAAGTATTTTTAAGTCCCGATTTATAACTGTAAGGCGACTATATCATCTTTAGTCCCGGTTCGTGTTACCAACCGAGACTAAAGATCACAGGGACACGAGATCATCTTTAGTCCCAGTTCATCTCGTGTCAGAGGCTGCCAGTCCCTAGAGATCTTTAGTCCTGGTTGATGTTACCAACCGGGACTAAAATCCTAACTTTAGTCCCGGTGACTAAAAATCAAATATGCCGTATATAATCCCTTGCTGCTATCCTAAAAAATTTCTATCCTATTCTTCCTCCTCCCCTCCCTCACACTTTTATCTTTATCCTCTTCTCTATTCCTTCTCTCTCAACACTTAGCCGAATAGCCGGAGAGGAGCTCAGGGCGGCGGCCCGGGCGCAGAAGGCGGTGGCGGCTGTGCGCGGCAGGAGGAGGAGGCGGTGGCGGCTGCGCGCGGCAGGAGGAGGCAGCGGTGGCGGCCGTCCGCGGTAGGAGGCAGCGGCGGCGACCCGCAGCAGCGGCCGCTCGTGCAGGAGGAGGTGGCGGCCCACGGCGGCGACGGCGGCCGTCCGCGGCAGGAGGCAGCGGCGGCGGCCGCTCCCGCGGCAGGAGGCGGCGGCCGGATTTTCTTTTTTTTAGTAACTTATGATTCATTGGATCTGGATCTGGATCTGTGTTATTTTATCTGTGATGTATCTGTGATTGTGATGTGTTTTTTTTTAGAATTTGTGATGGTTTTTTTCTGACAATTTATGATGTGAATGTTATGATTTGTGATGTTGCTACTTTGATCTGGAGATGTAGGGAGCATCTCAATTTCGATTTGGAATTTGTGATGATTTTGTGATTTTGGAGAGATTGGTGTGAAATCAATATTCAAAAGAACAATGAAAAAAAAGACTGGCGCTACACCTTTAGTCCCGGTTGGTGGGACTAAAGATTCTCCTCTTTACTCCCGGTTGGTATTAAGATGGACTTTTAGTCCCGGTTATTTCACCCGGGACTAAAGGTTGTATAACCGGGACTATAGGGGTTCCCAACCGGGAGTAAAGCCTCTTTCTCCACCAGTGAATTCAAATGTAAGTTCTTTTTAATTTTATTGTTTTATAAATACGGTAACTTAGAACTAAATTCTGGTAACTTAGAACTAAATTCTCTGAGAAGATTTCACCCAGCTTTCTGACTTTCACCATGTTTGACAGTCGTTTGGCATCCTGCAGACTCGAGCAATTGAGGGCTGTGGTGTTATTCTAGACTATCGTCAACATGAGAGATACGCCCGGGAGGACACATATGAGAGGGGTGACACAAAGCTCACGGTGAGGGTGAGAATGGTTTTGGAAGAATCCTAAACCGCCTAGTGTGACAATCTCTTTCGACACCTACGGTCGATAAGGACATGAGAATAGATATGTATGAACGTAACCTAAGTTAGCGATAGCATGCATTCACAAAATTTAGCATAAAGCTAGCTGTATAAACATTTTTTTTTATAACAGGTAATTATATTATCTGGCTTGCAAGGAAAGCCTAAATTAAGGACAGTTTTTTTACTAGCTGTATACAAACATATAAACAGGGGGAAAGAATCCCCTACGGGCGTGGAGACAAGGTGGACGGCGACATCGATCTCGTGGGCACAGAGGAGGAGGAGGTGAGGTGGCTGGCCAGCTCGAAGTCACAACACTCGTTAATCACGATGGGCGCAGTGGGGTGAGCGGCGGTGCTCCTCCGAGCGGAAACGGTGTGGGAGTGTAGAGAAAGGAAAGGACTAAAGAGCGGAAAGATGGGAGGAAGAATATGGGACTTATATATAGGTAGGTCCCACCTTTTTTTTACTATGATGCCATGTAGGCGTCATATTGCATACCCAGTCAACGTGCCATGTAGGACGAAACCACCATTCAAACCGCTCGAGTTAAATTGATCCGGTTTTCGTAGTTAAGGAGTCTCTATACCCGGTTTTACGGTTAATGGATACAATTCGATCAAGAAGACAAGAACAATATGTAAGGGAGCAAAATAAACTTATTTCAAAATTCGTTAAAAGAAGCCCACCAAGCCACCACAATCAGCCCAACTAGCACCGACCTGGAATCCCTATGGTCCCAAATCCCCGATCCAAGTCTCCAGCCGCAATCTCTTGGACGCCTACACGGCGGAAGGTCACGACTCTCAGCTAGCGTACATTCTGGACGCGGGGAGGTCGGACCGTCGGAGCATCGTCCTCAACAGCACAAACATGGCGTCGACACAGGGAGGTCACGGCCTAGAACCACATCCTGAGCTACACGGCTGCACCACTGTTACCCGCTCTTCCCGTGGCCAGTCGTCAAACTCCCACTAATCCCATGAGGGTTTAGGGACCCCCTTAGGGAGGATTGAGAAAACAAATGAATGGAAAAAAAATAAAAGATTTTAACGGTAATGAAAATGTAAAATAGAAGATTGTGAAACATGAAAAATACTGGAATTATCGTTTGATTGAACCATAGAAAATAAACATGAATTTATGGAAAATGAGGCATTCCATGAGAATTTCATAGGATTTAATAGTATCAAATCCTTTGTTTCAAAAATTCATAATGGTTAAAATCTTATAAAATTCTTATGTTTTTCTTTCGAATCAAATAGGCACTTATGCATTTACGGTCAGAGCCGAGCAGAGGAGGAAGTTAGGGTTGGGACATTCTTGCGCAGCCCACCCACCTACTCCCTCCATACTCGTAAAGGAAGTCGTTTAAGACAGCGGCACGGTCTTCAAAACACAACTTTGACTTCTTGTTTCTATAAAAATATTTATTGAAAAGTGATATATGTATACTTTTATGAAAGTATTTTTTAAGACAAATCTATTCATATAATTTTTACATTTTCAAATTCAACAACTTAAGAGTTATTCATGATTTATATTCTCAAGGTTTGACTTAAACAGTCCTAAACGACTTTCTTTATGAGTACGGAGGGAGTATATATCAATGGTCTAAATACTTCAACTAAACTAAGATAGCTGCGCGTAAGAACTGCAGGTTGCTCCCTCTTCTTCCTTTTACTGCTGCTTTCCCCTGAAGTCTGATTCTTCTGATTCCCGCTTTTTGGTTCTAGCTAGTCTAGTGCTCTTCCCAATCCTTGATTATATTTCTCTCTTCTATAGTTTGTTACTCCACTTGGTGGTAGTTTAGTATTGATGACGTAGGTTCGTATAACACTATAGTATCAGCCTATGATTCATGGGATCAAGAACACATGGTGGATAGCACGACAGGCACAAACTTGAGCAGGAGATAAAAAGGATCAACGCAACTACGAGGAAAGAATGTTAGCAATGGAGCTTCGATGAGAACAAGTGGCGTCACCTTTTGTCCTCTTTCTTTCAGAGCTGAGTATCCCTGTTGCAAAAGATATCGAGGTGAGAATTTTGGTAAAGAATTATTCCAAAACTCATGCAAAAGTTGATAACTTTTCAAAGCTCACCAGTGCTGAACTGCTGATGGTTTTTTTAGATGATGGGAATTTTATAAAGCCGTCCTGTACAACAAGATAGTGTATACAGTCATAGAAATTGTGACATAAGATTCAGCAACAATCAAGGAGATCTCAATGCTAAATACCCTGATTCTGAATCACACTGAGCTCATAATATACATGATCGGCGACCCCTTGATTTCCCCTTCTGCAGTCTTTCCTTGCATCCAGCATGCTGTCAAACAATGGTACAGTGCAGTAACATTTCAGGCAAAAGGAACACTAACATTGTGCATGTTTAACATAAGTCCGAAAGAGGACATTGAGCTGGCAAATATTATTTTCATGGAATAGTAGACTTGTGAAAATGGAGGTGAGCTTGCCAACTAAGAACATGCAGAGATTTTCCACAGATTATTCTTTACTCCGAAAGACTGAAACAGTCGGAATTTACATAATCCAGTTCTTAGTTCCATATAATATATACATCTAATTACATAGACAGTATCAGTCATCTGGAATGCATTCTGGGATTCAACAGTGCTTCGTCTTTATTTACACCATTGAGACGAGCCACGCTGTCACGGTGAGTAAATAATCAGAATTCCATAAAATTAGAATAATTGGACAGATTCAGGGCATGAGCTCCAAACCTTTCAGGCCCAGTTTTTCCGCTTAGACCTCAGCAGCATCAGTTTGTCCCTCCACGTTGCTGTAAAAACAATGTCAATTTTTCAAAACCACTAGCTTTTTTTTTCTGCATATTACTGTATGAGATTAGCATTGTTTGCACCAGCAACTTGCTGTTGTCATATTAGGTGATGTTTAGTTGATTTGTTCCTTTGCAAAGTACAAATTATGTTCCTTTAACATTTAGAAAGATCTCACGAATACGATACAACACTAGTCCTTGTCAGACAGAATGCACTGATGAATCTTCCCCGCAAAAAAAAAAAAAGGTGCATCGATGAATCTTAATAACACCACAACACGATAATAAAATTACCAGCATCTTTGTATCTCTCTTCAACAGCTGCAATGAGCATGTTCCGGATCAATCCAAACTCTTGAGCCTCGACACATGGCTGCCCATCAGGTCTGATAAAGTGCCATTTGTAAGAAAAATAAACATACATGTGGATGGATAAAGTTCAGAATCTTAATTTGTAAGTCAGCACATAATCTCCTTAAGGAGAAAGGGCATCAAAATGTAGAGCAAGACCAGTATAACCTGATTAGTAACTCTTTGCCCTTGCAAGCTAGTACCTCCAATGATTTTTATCAGGCATATTTTGATTTTAAACAAAAATCTTCAAGACTGTACTTTCATCATTGTAAGCTGTTAAAATGCAGATCTATTGGCACAGTTTTTATACACTGAATTTTCATTGCTCTGCTCTCAACATTCCTATGAGAAAGGAAAGGTTGGCCAAGCTACAGCATCTCTTGTAATTTGACTAAATGTTGGTAAAAATCTACAAAATTCAACATTTTGAAATCAAACTGTTGACTTATATAACTCAATGGAGGGAGTACAATAATTGCTTTGAACCACGTCATAAAGATATGCTACCACAGTTCTCGTCTATGTTATAGTTAAGTGCATATTTTTGTATTCAGGTGACAAAAAGTGTCAGTGCACAAACCAGTGAAAGTAGAACAAAGAATTCCAGTACTACTGCAACATTGTGCTTTCATGAATTCAACAACAGTCATAAATAGATTTCCATAACAATACCTGTCAAGTTCTGTAAACAACAACCCGTCAGACATGCCGGCTGCTATCGCCATTCTTGCTGGCTCGACTGATCTTATGCCATCACTGTATGCAAGGCTTCTATGGACTTGTATAGGAACCTGTTCATGTCAAGGCCAATGGTGTAAGCATAGATACATTATTTGTTTCCATAGATAGATTCGGTTAAATCATGTGAGCAGCAAGAACTGGTCTAAATTCCAACTCGTATGATTAAAATGATCTCATGAGATACAAAGATTCTGAATTCAGAAGAGATTGATATATTTGCCCAGGCTTGCAAAACCACAAAAAATATTTACTCTATTAAAAACTTCTAGTTTGCATGTTTCTTGACAGTTGACACCATTAAGCATCTTATGCACAAACTGTGCAAATATGAAAAAAAAAATATGGTCCTTCATCAGAAGAAAGTAAATAAACATTAACAAAAAAGGTGTACACTGAAAAACAGAACCATATTAGAAAGCAGGAATAGAGGCAGCGACAGACAAAATCAGAGAACTGCTTGGTAAAACTCTCATCCTCTGATGGCAGTAGACATAAAAGAGAGCAATGAAGTTCAACAGGCAAAATAATACCTTGCAGCGAACAGCAATGTTTATGGCATCTGAAGGTCTTAGATCAAAGGTGATACTTTCTGTATGGTCACCTACCTGCAGTATAGGCAGTTTCTAGTTTAAAATGGTTAATGATAGTATTGTACACACTAAAGTTGAGTTCAGTTTCCTTTTTAAAAAATGCTCTGCATAAGTACCTTCGTCAGAAACAGTTCAGCACAGTATGCTTCTTGAATTCTTTTATTTATCCGAACCAGTTTTACCTGGAACCAAAATCAAACACAATGATGGAAGGAATAAATAAATGAATGAGTGGTACAATTTGACTTATTTGTAACCAAACACAACTACTATAGACTATTTCTAGTAACCTTACCTCATAACCCATCTTATCAATCATCTCCTTCACAACTTGATATATGGTTGGTCTTGCCTGCAATGAGAAAGGGTTATAAATCGCATCAAGCAAAAAAAAAGGAGCAAATTGTAGTAATAAAACAAGATATTACAATGTGGACATTCCGAATAGCAGCCATCAGAAGTACGCTTGGCATTTCCACTGAAAAAAGGTACATAGTATTAAAAATTAAATCAATGAAAACTTGTAACTAAATTTCTAGATTGAATGAAGAACTGTACATACAAACAATGATTGGAAGTAAAGTTTCACTTCCATCTTCAATCCTCAAAACAATAGCAGGTTGTGGTGCGCTTTCTGGAATATTTCTCCCTTGAGAATTATTGTGCACACATCTCAAGTTTTTCCCATCTCGCATCTTGATTACATATCCCTCTGCCCCACTTCTCACCTCAACTGGGAGAGTAAAAGCAAAAAGGGTTACCGTCGAAATAACTATTGAGAGAAGCAAATCCAGAATACTGCTATCAACAGATTAGCTGATGGGCAATCATCGATATTCATTATTTTTTATGAATGAACTCAATGTAAGTGAGATTATAAAATGGATATATTTAGTCAATAAACCCATATGTGATATCTACAGCACTACATGAGAACAACATGACACGATATGATATGACAATTCAATGCTAAAGCACAAAATTGGGTTAAATAGGAGTAATAAGTATAAAGAAAAAACCCAGCAAATAAGATACATCTATTTGCTCTCTGATTGATTGTGTATACCTCTACAATGATACTGAATTATCAAAGTACAAAAGATACCAATTAGTGCCAGAAAGAACATATTCACTTCTACAAACCAAGGTGGGTATTAACCTCTCGAGATGCTTAAAAGAAAAATGATAATGGCAAACAACTTCCACAAAAGAGCATCATATATTAGTTTCAAATGTAGAACACATGCCAGACATAATGTTAAGTTCTGCACAGCTCACTGGAACAAGGATGTATCCTACAGTGGCATAGCTAGGATTTAGAGTAAAGGTGGTCCATCTATATGCAATAGGTCAATTAAATGGGTGGTCCACTATACAATTTTTATTATATTAACTAGCACATATACTATAGTTTTAATCTCGATCAAATTTACTTATAAGGATATCACAATTTTGGCCTACAAGTTGGTGATCGAGGGATGGGGCTTTTACAGTCCTCTGTTCCAAATTATGCATGTCCTGTTTTATCCCAAGTTCCAGCTTAACATAATACTACCACTAACATCCATATGATGTATAGATGTGCACAAACAGTGTATCCTACTGGTACTGATGTTTCAATATTATACTCCAAACAAAATTAAAGTTGAAATGAAAGGAAAAAAATATATTCAGATGTCATTTGGATATAATGCTCTAGTGATGCCATAAGCAATTCATTTCACCAAGAAAACAGAGCGTATGGTTACGAAAGTTCAAGGTGATAACTGAATAAAGTTTGGTAAAAATACAATGCATTAATGCACAAAATACAAATAGAAAGAAGCAAAACAAGGGGCAAAGTACCTGCTTCTAGCACAGTAGAATTAACATAATCTTCATCACTCTCACTAAAGTTTCCAGCCATATATCCATTACCATCGGACGACGAGCTGAAGCTACCGCAAACAGTAGCAAAGTTCTTTTGTGCCGGCTGATAGATTGGGGAAATGAGTCTAGTGATATTCCTGTATTTACACACACAACCCAGGAATGCGGTCCCAAGCTGCCCAGACTTGGTCAGTGAGTTGCTGATCATCGTGACAGGTAGCTTAGCTTGCATCACTGCACGACACAGGATTGGTCCCTCCATCGCCATCAATCTAGCCACATGGTCAACAAGAAAACAAATAAATAACGGATTCTTAATCACCTTGTCTTCTTCCAAACCGTGGATGTGACCGAGTCTAAATTGCAATATCCCAACGCATAATCACTCCTACATCCTCTCATCCTTCACCGGAATCAAATAAACACACGAGCACTAGAGACTGGATAAGTGGATAAGAAAGATAGAAAGAAAGAAAGAAACCGATCAAAATCCGGGCGGATTCCCGATCGACGCTCACGGGATGGTCGGGTGGTCGGGGAAAGGGAGAGAAGAAATGGATGGGATGGGATGGGATACCTTGGATTCGATTCCAATCGAGGGCGGAGTCAGGTCGTCTCGCCCCCTCTCCAAACCAGCTCGCCCGCCTGGAGTGCGCGCGGCGCGGCGCGGCGCGATCGAGGAGGCAACGCGAACGCCGGCACGGGGGAAGAAGAGGAGGAGGAGGCTGCCGTCGACGGCGGCGCGCGCGGCGCGAGTAAGGTGTGGGTATATGATCTTCTCGACTTCTCCCGGGCTCCGGCTGTGCGGATCGGTGGGGGCTGAACTGAAGGCTTTCGCTTTATCCGGAGAGGAGCCACCTGAAAGTGAAGGTGAAGCGGTGGGCGAGAGATGGCCAACTTTACGCTTTTGCCCCTTCGTGCATTTCCGCTGGCTCATCACTTTCGGCTCGCGGCTTGGCTCATCTGACCACGGTTGGCTTGGCTCCCGTGGCACCCATGATATTTATAAGAAAAGTATTTAACTTTGAAGCGACGTAGCGATTTTAGAGGAATATAGGCCAAAAAGGGACTAACTAAACCGGAATAGACTCCAAAAAAGAAAAGGCCGGGGGGGGGGGAGTAAGCTAAACACGATGACTAAGTGCCCAAAATATCTTCTATAGAGAAGGTTTCGCTTTCCGGCTGGAGCTGTCCCTCGTGCATCATCCTGTCCACCATCGTGTCTACATGAGAGAGAACGTCGTCGAAGATGTAGGAGTTCCGCTCCAACCAAAGCTGCTAGGTAACCATGATGACAAGAGAGTTGACACCCTTCCTGAGGGGCTCCCACCCAAGATGGAGGACTGATTGTCGATCGGAGGAGCGGCTCGTCAGGCCTTCCTTAGCAAGCAACTTGTGCCATACTGACTTGGCAAATCCACACTTCATCATAATGTGGCTTGCCGACTCTGGCTCCTGCGCGCAGAAGGGACACATGACATTGCGATCCATCTCCCACCAAAGCATCGGGTTTGCCATCTAGCATCAACACTGGAACACAAACCAAAGAAATAGCTTGCACTTGACCGGCTGTCACTGTGCCACATAAGCTCTTCACATGGGAAGGGAAGCTACAGGCGAAGAAGGTGTTGTACGTCGAGCAGGCAATGTATGCAGCTCCAGTCCAATGCTAGATAAATCGGTCTGCGATAGAGTCCTAGAGCGTGTGCCGAGTGTTGTGCTAGACTGTCAAGAACTGGGAAACTTCATGAACCATGAGAGCGCCCATCATGTCCTTGATCTAGCTGCTGTTACCGAGGGCAGTAGCCACTGTCGTCGAAGATTAACGATCATGAGGAACAAATCTGGAGCAAGTAGTTGGATCTATTATATTGTCCTTCAAGCCAGTTGTAAAACCAAAACAACGAGCAACGACAGTCCCACGACAATCGTGGTGGAAGCCCATGACATGTCCGCGACACCTGGCTCAAGCTGAACCGTGAATCAGGTCTAGCGGGGGTTGCTAGCACACTATAATCATGCCCACCCCATGTGGATGGCCCAACGCATGATCCGGAGCTCCATGATGTCGAGGTCGTTGAACCCCTTGGGCTGATAGACATTGGGCCATGCCACAAGATAATACCCACCATGGGCTACATCCGCACCCTTCCAAAGGAAGGCCCATCGCCTATTGTCAATGTTCTTTAGTACCTAGTCTAGTAGCCTGAGTGAAATAGAGAGATGCACTGGGGATTGAAGGAGAGAACCGACTGGACTAGCACCTAGCCTCCCCACCATGGTCTTGAGCTTGCCCTTCAAAGCTGATACATACAATTGTGGACCACATTGACGAGCGGCTGAAGGCTCCTCTTAGGTAATTTCTTGACAGGGAGTGGAATTCCAAGGTATTTACATGGAACTCCATGATCATGCAGGGTATTACGCGTGAGACCACGGCTAGATTGTCCTCCGAGCACTGGATCAGCATGACAAAGCATTTGTCGAAGAGTGTGAACAACCCCGAGGCCACCCCGAAACAGGATGAGATCCCCTTGATCATCTTCAAGTCCTTCTCGACCGGGTACCCATGATATCTCATTCACATCCATTGAAAAAAATAAAACATGGTACACAATAGGAAAATCAAATCAAAGTTTCAAGTAGAATTAAAGCTATATGTTGAGAAGATAACCATACATATAGGTTTAATATATTCAATAAATAATTTATAACACTAAACATTCAGAACTATTTCATATGAAATGATCTAGACATGTATATGAGTATATGACATAACTGCACATGAATAGATCAATCGTACAAAAAACTGAAACATGCCGATGGTCAGTGGTGAAGCCAAAATTTGAACATGAGGGGGTTGGGGTCTGTCAACATTGGGGGAGGCCAGGCCACCTCCCGCCCCCCTGGTACTGGTAGTCTATAGGCTGAGAGGGAGATTCATTAATTAGTTTGCATGTCTCAGCAAAAAAGAAGAAAAAACAGCTGAGAGGGAGCTTCATTTGTATATATTCTATGATGTCTCAGAGAGGACGAAGAGGGGGGGAGGGGTCTGTCATTGTGGGAGGCCAGGCCTCCTCCCGCCCCGGCCCCTGGCTTCGCCCCTACATATGGTTCTGATTTGAAGCGTTCGTGGCAACGGATGTCATGTGGATGATGTGTGGCAATGCATGTGACGGCAACACGTTGCAACCGAGAAACGAGAAAGGTGAGTCGTGGTGGTAAATAGTGATCGGTTACATATAACATTTCCAAAAGAAAACCTTATTCGCTTTCTCCCATCTGATACATGTTATGTTGCCGGTGCACGTTAGAGGGTAGGATAGAATAGACCACGAACGCAAGAGAGATGGAGTGATTTGGAGCTACAATGCGATACAGAGAACATGAAAAACCATAGATTGTATTTCACGTTTTTTATCGTGAAAGTGATGGCTCAATATTTGTAGATATATCAGGATGCCTACATGTTATCCGCAATGCTTAGCTAAACTAGATAAGCCACGCATAACCGACCTAGATACACACAGGACAATCTGGTGCATTCACCGGACCTTCCGGTGATTTGGAGCAGTGTTGACGACCAAATTTGGTGGCTCCATGGGTTGGATTCGAAGTTAGAAATGAAGCCGATTTTGGAAAAAGCTCGTTCGGGAAAGCAAAGTAAAAGCTGACTACAAACAGCATCGGCTGCCGCTCAAATCGGTAATTCATTTATCGGAGATGAAGATAGAATCGAAGCGGAATTCAAGATGGAGATCGTTACGGAAACAGAGCGAGAATTAGCTAAAGTCCGAATCGACTGCGACCAGGATTGGAAGAGTTCGAGTCGGACAAGGTTGGCCGATTGAGCCGATGCCGACAATGTGACGTGGTACACGTTGTTGGGTTGAGTTAATGTGCTTCATGAGGATTGCCATGACCGGATTGAGTCCTGAAAAGGCAATTGTATCTATTAATTAGGATATTTCATATAATTTCCTTAGAGATAAGTTTGGGCAAAAGTCTGCCGCAAAGACTTATGGTATCTTAGAGTTTGTTAGAGATAAGAGTCGTGTCCGACACAGACATATTTTGTAATCTCGGGTATAAATAGACCCCGAGCCCCATGTAATACAACAACAGACGTTCAATACAATCTCGGTGCATCGCCACCCTTTTACTTTCGTTTTGTTTCGACGAGTTCTAGCTTTCGGGTTGAGCTGCATCGGTTTCGATCTTCAACTAAAGGTAGAACTTGTTATGGCAGCTTGCATTCTCGGGATTAGTGCTTTCATCTTTATGATACTCTAATCTTGTTTATGCAATTCGTTGAGTTATCATATATTCTATATAATCTTAGACAATATTGTTATCTAACCTTCAATCGGCTAACATATGTTGCTAGAAGGCAGCCGATCGGTTTAAATACCAACATTGACTTAGATTATATATAGGGTATCCACCACTCTATGAAACATCCAATAGCTTGGTTGTCTAGATATTGTCCTTCTTTTCATTCTTATAGCTGCATCAGTTGAGTTTGACCTTATAAGTCGTGATTAGAATCTCAACCTCTAGCCTGCTTTTTGGTTGCCGATTAGGGTAGTATCGGGATTTCAGCCGATCTTACCTGATTTAGCCTCATATTTCATGTGCTTAATTGATATGCTAGATCTGCCCTTTATGTTATGATCTTAGTACAACAAAGTATGTTAGGCTTCTGTTTGATATATTTTGCTTGCTTTAATATCTTAATATAGAGTGGTATCGGAATATTAGCCGATACATGCTAGATCTATCTGATCGGCTATGCTATAAACATAATCTCATTGTTAGTATATATTTCGGTCTAAGTGATTTATACTGTCTCGGCATGGCGACCGATCTATCTCAATCACTTGATTTAAGTATATATCGACATAAGGATTATATATCGTTAATATCTACAGCCGATCGAGTAGATTTAATTCGTTCTTATTTATTTATGACTACCGATCGATCCATACGTGACATCGGCTCAAAGATGAATGATATGTCATCGGCAACTGGCCGATCGGCTATCATTTATGGATTTAACCGCTTTTTTCCTGTCTTTATTTTTTGTTGATTGCAGGATCAAATCAACTAGCACGCTCACGAACCTAAAAGCAAGATTTTTGGACCTGCACTGGAGTTAAGCAGATCTCCCAGGCCTCGTGTTTTTCACATCAACAGTTAGATGAAGACCTCCATATCTATTGCCACACAAGGATATGAGTTCTAAGAAGGGAAATTGTATCTATTAATTAGGACATTTTCTAGTTTCCCTAGAGATATTTTGGTAAGGGCCCACCTGGAGGGCTCATTCGTATTTTATGTTAGAGATAAGAGTCGTGTCCAGCAATGACCTATCATATACTTCGGGTATAAATATGGCCCGACCCCATGTAATCAAGGGACGACAGTTCAATACACTTCGGTGCATCGTTACCCTTTTACTTTCATTGTTTCGATGAGTTTTTGCTTTCGAGTTGGGCTGCATCAGGTTCGATCTTCGACAAAAAGGTAAATCTTGTCATGGCGGCTTGCACTCTCGGGATTAGTGCTTACATCTTTATGACACTCTAATCCTGTCCACACAAGTTGCCGAGTTATCATATATATCGCATAATCTAGATTGATCTCGTTATCTAAGCTTCATCGGCTAGCCTCTATCATCGAAAACAGCCGATAGGCTTAGGCCTCGATATTGAGCTAGATTATGCGGTATATCCACCATCTCGAATGAGCTTCCATCAGTTTGATTAGATCTTATGCTTCTCTTCATGCTTAATGCTGCATCGGTTAGGTTCGATCTATTAAGTACCATCCTGAGGCGTTTCATCTAATCTCCTCTTTGGCTGCTAATAGAGATAGTATTGGGGTTTCAGCCGATCTTACCTGTTTTAGCCATTTTACTTCCTTTTCTGGTTCTAGAATGTTTAAATCCGCCCCTTATC